TAGTTTCGTTCGATTTTATGTAAATGGTGCACCACACTGCCAATATTTTCCAGATTTATATAATATTTTATACAGCGTACTGAATTAAGTCCAGTTTGATGTCTGTGATGTTTTATTGAAATCGCTTCAGATATAGCTATACAGCTCCCATATATACTTTCGTCCAATTTAATGTAACAAAAGGAACGAATTGGTAAAGAAACAAAACGAAGATAACTATTAGAAATTAGATTGAAAAGTAATTAATAATAAAATAGTAAAATATGCAATATATATATATATATATATACACTTTTTGATATACAAACACGTATTTTATCACCAAATATTTATATTTAAAATAGGTTACGGAGCACTATAAAATTTTTCAACAATCACGACAGGGTTGCCATTTCTTTGGTATGCTGTTTTATTGGTTTAAATATCTATCTAGATCCGATTCCGATTTCCATAGCATCCAAAGATGCTATGTGTCTTCTATCTACCAGATATTGTACACATTATAATCTCTTGTATGTACCCAACATGGTGAAGGATATAATATAGTCGGCTCCGACTGACTTTTGATCATTCCTTACTGGTTTTCTTTTCATGAAGAAGATACCTTATCTTTATGATTAGTTATATTATTGTATTGAATGATAGAACAACCTTGCAATGCGTGGTATTAAGGGCTTAATATATATATATATATATATATATATTGCGTCGTCTTGAAAATGCTTTGCACTATTTTAAAATGTTTTACTTAAGAGTATTGAAAAAAATGAAACAAAACTGGAGGGTAGATTCAAGTCCTTCAGTTCTCAGCAAAATTCATAGAGTTTTTTATTATAGATTTTTTTTGACTTATGACGCGGTGTAAAGTCTTGGTAAAGGGATGCTTTCTTCATTCGGTAATTTTGTTGAATATCGCTATGTAGAGGAGGTGATGCAAATGTGGTATAGGTTGGTAATGTGGTATAGTCACTTTTATTGTAAACTGAAAATTTTAGAATAAATGAAACATGTTCTTTAGTTTGCTGTTCTCAAAAAAATAAGATAGCAATGATCTGTTTAATTTATTTAAATCACGTTGAGAATCAGTTCCAAAAATTAAATTTTTAATGAAATTGACTTTTTTTCGGTTGAAGTTTAAAAATAATTTTTTGTTTTACAGATTTATTTTAATCTTTATTATGAAAGCATTAAAATAATCAGTAAGTACTAAAAATCAAATAAAATGCGCGATTGCACCACATATTTACCAATTTAGGAAAGAAACTAGACAATTATTCAGTGAACACAAGTGCAGGTAATGTGGTATACCTTGAGTCTGTATGAAAAAAAGCCAGCACAAGACAAAATCTCATTACTATTTGAAACATTTGTACTCTACGAGAGTCTTCCATGAATCACAAGGATGAAAAACAAAGGCTATGAGTTTTAACAAGTTCTCCATCCATAAATTAAATATTTCCATGTGTAGACATTATTATATAATAAAAATTAAAGTTCCATTCAATGTACCCGTTAAAAATCTTAACAGACATAAATCTCGAGCTAACTCGTATTCATTAAAAACAATAAATTGTATAAGATACTAATTGGAAGTGAAAATTATACTATACCACATTAACATCATGTGGTATACCCAGTGTTGCCAATTTAGCACTTTTAGTGCTAGATTTAGCACTTTTTAAACTCGTTTAGCACCAAAAAAAGTGATCTAGCACCTAGCACTTTTTTTAGCATTTTTTATTTTTCTGTAATTTTTTATAATTTTTGTTTCATCCCAACAAATTTTCCCGTTTTTCGATTTCATATTGACGCATTGAAATTTCCCTATGTTTCACGCGTTGAATTTGATTTTCCAATGTTAAAAAAGTGACAGTAGATTTGTAAGTAGGTACTTCATATGGTGACTATGACATTGTCTGCTAGTAGATTGTTTATTTGAAAAAACCAAATAAAGCGGTCCATTGAAATTTTCTGAAAATAAGTTTTTTAATGCACCGGCCATCCTGAATGCCAAGTTAAAACCACTCAAAACCACTTAAGAGTACCGAACAGGACCAAAATAGAAAAATGTCGGCAAACATATATTTTTATACCCTTCACCACACTAGGGTCAGGGTCTTATTTATTTGTGCATATGTTTGTAACAGGCAAAAGGAAACGAGATAGACACACGGTTCCTTTTGAGAATATGCATTGAATCACTTTTTAAGCTGATTTATGCATGTCCGTCCGTCTGTCAATGTTAAATTGTAAACAAAGTACAACTCGCATTTTTGATTCGAATTGGATTAAATTTGGCACAGCTCATTTATTTGTGGAAATAGGTTCAGATGTAGATATAGATTCCATATATATTTTCGTCCGATTTAAGGTAAGGCCCTATATATCCTTTCGATTTGCACGAAATTTGTGCATAGTGATTAAGCCTAGAAAGACGTGTGTTAAATTTCGTGAAAATCGGTTAAGATTTAGATATAGCTCCCATATATATTTCCGTCCGATTTAATGTAAATGGTGCACCAAAGTCCCTATATATATTTCGATTTGCACGAAATTTGGCATAGAGTATTAAATTAAGTTTGCAATGATGGGTGGTGAGTTTCGAGAAAATCGGTCCAGATTTCGATATATGTAGCTCCCATATAAATTGTCGTGCGATTTTATGTAAATGGTGCACCAAAGTCCCTATATATCCTACGATTGGCTTGAAATTTTGCATATGGTACTGCAAAATTTCAGAAAGATCTATGTTAAATTTCATGAATATCGGTTCAGATTTAGATATAGCCGATTTTAGGTAAATAGTGCACCAAAGTCCCTTTATATCCTTCGATTTGCTAACCTCCGAAATCCCGAAATACGAAATTACAGTTACTTTGGGATAATGGGGTGCTGCCGTTAACCAGCAACCCCTAAATATGTACATATATTAATAATTTCTGATAAGGAGATTTTTTACTCAATTTGAAATATCAAATTAAAGCCAATTCGATTTTAAAACGTGTTTATGAGGGCTACGTTTAAAAGTGGACCAATGTTGATAATTTTTAGTAAGAAGACTTTCTACACAGGGAGAATCCGAAATACAAAACCGCATATTAGGTTGAAAATGTGCCCAAAACCTTAAAAAAATCAAATATTGGGTATGGTATACACAAAAAAGACCAATATATTTAATTTCCAATACCAAATGTCCTAGGAGTAGTGCAATATATGGGCAAAATTCCAAAGCTCTGTTTTCAATATTGCGACCTCAATCGAATGGACATGGCTAAATCGACAAAGAATAGCCTTTAAGAAAAATGGGGTCTCTGATGAATATTTCATTATTACATATTAACAATTTTATTCATTTAATTTTTAGCACTTTTTTCTGGCACTTTTTTTAAATTTTCTAGCACTTTCTAGCATTTTTTTCAACAAAATCTAGCATTTTTTCTCAACAGAGTTTTGGCAACACTGGGTATACCACATTACCTGCACTTTTTTTAAAATCACTTTTAATGGAATTTCATTTTTTTCTCAAATATCTCTTAAATTATTAGAATAATATTATTTTCAAATTGATACATGGAAAGACAACACATGTAGCATGTTATGTGTAAAATTTCAATTTAATCGGATAAAAAATAAAAATTTGGCAACCTAAAAACAAATGGGTATACACATTTGCATCACCTCCTATAATAGTCACTGCTAATTAGCCTACCTTTTTCAAGGTAGTCATTCCATGGTTTATCCATTGTAACATAGACGGATAAATCGATTCGGCTCGTCGAGATATTATGATCGGTGTGCATAAGGCCAATAAATCGCGTTGTGTATGCTTAAGTTTTGAGAATCATAATGTTTCCATTAATTTTCAATTAAAACAAAAAATAATTTAAATTACGTATTAAATTAGCGATGCAATGGTGCACTATAACAGCACATTGGACCAGTGAATAATACGTGTTAGATCGTCATATGTGTGTTTACATAGGTCACCAGGTTTCCTTATCAATATGACAATCTATTTATTGATTATTTGCTATCAAAACTGCTTAGCGTTTATTCTGAATATTATTTATATTGTGCTTTCAATTTGAAAATGTGTTTCAAACTCGGAAGTAATACCACTTTCTAAAAATTATCAAATTAATCATGATCAGTTATATGTTAGTTAATTTCACTAAATATTGAAAAAACGAATATTGTATACAAAGTTGTCTCGGAAAAATAACATAGCGAAGCTATCCAATTTTATTATTACGTTTTTAATTGCAATGCCAGAATTGCTGTGGGTATGGTGCACATTTCATATCTATTTTCTATCTTTAAGGCAGGGAACAAACAATGCAATAATGATATCTTTAGATGCATTAGTGCAACAAATCTTATTTAATTCCACATTTTAAAGTCTAGCGCTACAACAAATTGTCAACAAATTATTGTTTGCTTTTCCCGTAAAGAAAAAATTCTCACAACAACGACTGACGGAAATCTTTTTGTTATGTGATGGTTAGCTAGATTCGTTGGTGGGCAGATAGATAGGAGTAAATGAATTTTGTTGTTGCCTGAAGAGTGTTTTGTCTAATTCGTGCAGTATTTAATACCCCTGTAATAACTGATTACGCGAAATTCAGTAAAACGTATGAGTACTTCTTGTGGTGTTTGCAATAAGATATTGTAGTTGTCCTCAGCCAATTTGCTTTGTTTGCCTTCTTTGGAGCATTAAATTTGTATTTACGTGTTATTTAAAAAGTAAAATTGTCTAATGAATCCGTTAGCTGGGAATAATTGCGGTTCGGGTTAAATCGATTTTTTACTGTTACTGTTTTACTTTAAAAAACATAATCATTTTCAAATTTCAGTTTTTAATTCAAATAAATAACTTAGTTTATTAAACTAAAACTTCCAACACACTTGAATTTAAGGGGAGGTTAAACATTATTATTTGGATCTCCTGCAAGCGGAAGTGTGTGAATTAGCTTAATTTTAACAATACATCTTTATTTCAGTATCCGCAGTGGATGCCTTTAGTTTCGTCGATGAAATGCGCCAGGCTGCACAACAAGCACAAAACATAAGTAATTTTGTATATGAACCAACATCTGGCTTGTACTATGATCAGAAATCAGGATATTATTATAATGCGGTAATATAAAATATTTTCATTAAAAAGAATCATTAATATAATTTCACTTTATTCTAGGAATATGGTCTTTATTATGACGGCAACACTGGTTGTTATTATAGCTTTAATGAACAAAAGAATTGCTATGAATTCCATTCACAAGTTCAAGTGCAAGCTTCTAAGTCAAATGTAAGTATTCTGAAGTAGTTTCCATTTGTTGTTATTCTTAAAGATCATATCTCAAGTTTACTCAACAAAAATTAAATTACGTAAAAAATAGAGTTAAACAATTCGTATATTCTCATGTCATTGTATATTCCAAATTCGACAATTTCGTTATTTTATTCCATTTGATAATGTTGTGTTTTCTGTCAACAAGTCAGTGGTCTTTGGAAAATTAGACGAAATATATTTTTTTAATTTCTCATCTTTACAAGTCATATTCTAATCAAAATATCCATTTATAAATTCTTAATTTATCTTCTTGTTTGTGTATTAATTGAATTTGTATTTCATATTTTACTATTTACCTTTTCCATGAACCCCATTTTAGGATACCAATAAAGATGGCTACCTTGAGAAACACGTAAATAATTCGTTTTTAGATCGTTTTTCAAACCTTTATATAGACCGAATGCGTAAAAATGCATTAGGTAAGAGTTAAAGACCAGAATGTTCGATGAAAACGCGGATTTCTTTTCTACTGTTGCAGGATAGTCAAGCTGACGATGAAATTGACGAGGTTATCTTCGACGAATTTGGTGTTGTTACCGACCGTGACAAATTGAAAAAGCTGAAAGAAGAGAAAGAACGTGTGGAAAAATCTAGGAAACATAAGAAGAAATCCACGAAAGATGAGGGTAAGGAAGATAAACACTCAAAGAGAAAAAAATCTCACAAAAAACGAAAACGCACGAAACGAGAATCAGCTGGATCACACAGCGATTCAGATGGTGAGAAGAGGAAGAAATGTAGAACAACTCGTACAGATATGGAAGATGGTGAAATTTCAACAAATTCCAGCAGCTCATCCGATTCTTCTCAAAGTGATTCTGAGAACGAAGATAGGGAAAAAGTACAGATATTCAAAACTGTTGGAAGGTTTCAAGGTATAATTTAAACACTAAAGAAAAGGAATTCGCGTTTTTCCACCAGCGAAACGAGGTTACATTTAAAAATATATTTATTTTATTTAGATATTGCTAAAAAGTATCCACCATCATTACGCATCATTGTGCAGGAATCTAACCTAGAGGGACTGAAGGTTGGCAGTCTCAGTTTAATAACATTCAAAGGTGGTAGTCTCGGACGTGAAGGAAATCACGATGTCATAATACCAGATGTCAATGTTTCAAAGGTATCTTTCAGCACCTCTAAATGATAGTACAAATTACATTAAGCACTTTCTTAAAGACAACATATATATTCCGAGAGTTCCATTTTTAATAATGATTATTTTTAGTTTCATCTCAAATTTAGCTACGACCATAAAAAAGGCATTTACAAATGTGTAGACTTGGGCTCTCGTAACGGTACCATATTAAATGGTACACGCATGTCTGCCTCAAAGACTGAAAGCGAATCATATGACTTGGTACACGGTAGCGTACTACAGATTGGACAGACAAAACTACTATGTCATGTACATGAGGGCAACAGTACATGTGGTCTCTGTGAACCGGGCTTGTTAATAGAGGCGACTCGTGAAGTTACTGCAGGTCCAACTCTTTCACACAAGGAACAACTAAAAAAACTCCAAAGGAAATACGGTTTGGAGAACGAAAGTATGTTTAATATGAGATACTATTTAAAAGAAATAAAATTCTAAAACTAGATCATTTCGTTAAAGAATTCACTGACGGTCAACAAAATGCAGGAAACAGTAGTTACCAAGATAGAGCTGCAACGAGGCGTTTAAATGTTGGCAGCAGTTCCGATAAGGAAAAAACACAAGTTGCTTCTGTGGATACGTAAGATTATCTGAAGATAAATATTTAGATTGCACTACTTCATTTATCACCATTATATCTTTATTGCAGTGCAATTTCTAGTGAAAACAAGGGCTTTAAAATGCTGTCGAAATTGGGATGGAATAAAGGTGAAACATTGGGTAAATCTCAGGCCGGTGGTCTTTTAGAACCGGTATGTTTAAGTATTCATTTCGTGAACTCTGAATTTCTTATAATATTATTTATTTTTAGATAAATGTCGAAGCCAATACCGGCACAAAGGGTTTAGGCTGTGATGATCCCACTGCTGGCATATCCCTAAATCCATCTGTTAAAAAGAAATTTGAGTTAATACAAAAGACAAAAGAGCGTTATCAAAAAGCTGATATTTTTAATATAAGCGATGATAGTAATTAAGTAAATACAAATTAATTTATATCGCATATATTTATTTGTAGCTAATTGAATTTGAGTTATTATACAAATAAAACGATCCGAATTACAAATTTTATTTAATGGCGAATTTATTTGACATTCCACAGAAACCCATGTCCCACTTTTTTATGCAGATTGGATTTCGTCGTTATAGCCGATATGTTGTTATAAACGATTTCGACTGTAGTTACAATACGACAAATTTGTCGTTAAAGATTCTGTTAACAACAGCATACAAAAAACTACGAAAATAATTTTAAAATGTCAATTTAACAATATTTACTGAGCCCCGATTTGTTTCTTAATCGTGGAACAATTTTCAGTTCACAGATTTAATGGAACTATCCTAAATATGATATGAACAAAATTTGACATATCTACATCCTTCCATTCGGGAGATACAGTACATTCTTTCTGAAAAATAAAAGTCCAATATAAGACAACCAAATGCAAAATCGACGGAAAAATCATTATAAATTATTTTCTACAATCTTTTTTGTTAGATTCAAAAATAATTCTGTTGGCAGAATTCGTACAATTCAAATACACGAAGCGTTTTAAATAATTTTTTAATAATACATAAATTAGTACTGTACACATGTTTGCTCTCTTCTCTATGTTAAAAAGCTCATAACTTTACAAAACATTTAAATTTTAGATTTTTCTTTTGATACGCGTCGTCCATATTCAGGACTTGACTTGACTAGCTGCACCGTAGTAAACTTAGTAAATCCCAGCATGCCTACATCAAAGTCAAATCAGTGGATACAGCTCTGCATGAGGTGGTTGGATGCATCGAGAAGAATATGGAGTCCTCTGGCTACACGTTGACAGCATTCCTCGATATCGAAGGAGCTTTCAACAATGTGAAGCTAGAGGCAATCCATTCTGCTCTCGTAGGCATAGTTATCCTCTCACTCCTTACGGAATGGATTGATAGAATGCTGGAAAGCAGAATTATCAACTCCTCCTTAGGAGAGAGTTCCGTGAGGAAATCTGTCAACAGAGGCACACCTCAGGGAGGAGTACTTTCCCCCCTGTTGTGGCTTCTGGTGATAAATGAGATACTTATGAAATTCAATCATCTCAGGATAAAAGTTGTAGCCTATGCCGATGATGTAGTCTTGCTGGTTGGGGGTAAGTTTATAACGACAATATCAGACATCCTGGAGGGTGCCCTTTCAACCCTGTCAAATTGGGCTTGCACCAAGGGTCTTGGTGTAAACGCCACTAAAACCGAACTGGTGCTCTTCACTAGGAAGCACAAAATTCCTAGTTTCCGTCTGCCATCACTTGGAGGAGTGACTTTAACCCTTTCTGATGAAGGTAAATATCTTGGCACTATCCTAGACCGCAAGTTACTGTGGAATAGGAATGTTGAGGAACGCTCCAAGAAGGGATTGCTGGCACTCTATTCATTCAAGAACTCCATAGGCAAGAGTTGGGGATTGAGACCCGGCTGTATACGACGATTGTCTTACCCATACTAACTTATGGTTGTCTTGTCTGGTGGCAGGGGGTGAACAAAAAGAAGCTGCTGACAAAACTGAACTTAGTACAGCGATCGGCTTCAATTCTGATCACCGGAGCATTAAGAAGTACACCACAGGCAGCCTTGAATGCAATCTTGAATCTCCAACCATTGGATATTCTGATCAAATTCCAGGCGGCCAGGTGTGCCCTGAGACTCCGGGAAACAGATGCCTTGAAATCGTTGAACTATGGTCATGCCAGCATCCTAAACATAACGCCAGGTTATAACCTTTTTAGGGGGGATAGTCATATCAGTGATTATGTTCCCCCCATTGGGAATTTAATGACATCATAGTTGAATTTCCTAGTAGGGAATCCTGGACTAGTGGCTCTCTACCTCTGCCAGGTCTGTCAATCTTCACAGACGGGTCCAAGATGGAAGAAGGCACTGGTGCAGGCGTCTACTGCAGGGAATTAGGTATACAGAACTCATATAAACTCAACAATGACTGTAGCGTTTTTCAAGCAGAGATTCTCGCAATCACGAAAGCTGCCGAGATAGTAAAAGCACTTAATGACGACATTACGGGACCGGTGACTATTTATGTAGATAGTCAGGCGGCCCTGAAAGCGGTGAAGGCGCATACTATAAACTCGAAAGCAGTTCATGATTGTAAGACCGCTCTGAATGATATACGACAAATAGTTGGGCTATGCTGGGTTCCAGGACATAACGATATTGAAGGGAATGAGATAGCCGACGAGCTTGCTCGAGGGGGGTCACAGTCGTCCAGTCTTCTGATTGAGAGATCTGTGAAACCCCCCATCAGCTATTTCATTGGCAGAATCCGTGCGTTCCATTGCGAGGTAGTCGGCAACAGATGGTTAAGGGAACCTGCTTGCAGAATCTCTAAATATATCTGCCCACAATTCTCTCGCAAAAGAACGTCTTCGCTGCTGGATCACAGCAAGAGGGAGATCAAAATCGTTGTGGGGATTATTACTGGTCACTGCAAAGTTAGAACTCTCACTTCTAAGTGGGACTCCAGTGGAGAGGATTACTGTCGTCTAGTGAGGACGAAGAAGAACTGGAAACAATTGAGCACATCCTCTGCAAATGTCCATCGCTGATCAGCAGAAGACATAAACAGTTTGGATGTCATGAAATTGATACTCTAGTCTTCTTCTCTAAAATATACCCTAAGCAAATTCTAGGCTTTGTCAAAAAATTGACTTGGCTGAAATAATCTCTCTTAAGCCCCCCCCCCCCTTTTTTTCTCACTATTCTTCTCTCTACTCTTCCACTATCTTTTCTCTTTTCTGTATAGGCATACCCAGGGATGGAAAATTCAGTACAATAGTACTTTTTTCAGTACCTTTTTACCCAAAAAAGTACCGTAGTACTCCCGTGACTATTTCAGTACCATTCCAATACTTCATTAAGCAATGACATATATATATTTTTTTTTTGGATTAGAAATTGTTATGGATTTACCGACAAAAGTATGCAGATAAAGATATTGATGTGATTGCAGTATTTCTCTTGAAAAAATGAACAGGTTTTCGACTGATAACTGTTCAGTTATGATTAAAATTACAAATGGATATGTTTGTCAGATACTCAATTTGGCATACTCTGCTATCTCCTAAGGTAGGCAAATTGATGATATTCCTAGTCGTCGTGTTTACTTCAATAATTTTAAGAGCACTTTGGAACTGAAATTCATGTTAGTTTGGGGTATATGTATTGGCTTTCGAGAAAGAGGTAATGAATTTGAAATTAGTCAGTAGCATACATATTCAAATGCAATCGAAAGAAGCAAGAATTCTTATATTATTACCATCAGAAAGGTACACTAAGTTATATCTTGAAAATCGATATTTATGAAACTGAATAAAATATTTTTTTTTTGTATTTTCTTGAAAAAAGTACCCTTTTATTAAAAAATGTACTCTTTTGGTACCTTTTCACATTTTTTATTTTCCATCCCTGGGCATACCTATATCAAAAGGATGATCACAATGGACATAGTTTCCGAGTGGGCGGTTGTTAAAACAACCGTACATCCCCAACCTAACCTAACCTAGCTGCATCATAATATATAAAAGAGCTTAGTGTTAAGTGAGTGACTGGCAGATCATCGCCCAGACGTAACGGCTGAAGCTAGAAACTTGAAATTTTGAGTGTGGGTTTTTGTTGGTGTGTGAGATAAGGCTGGATTTTTGGAAATTCGAACTAGATGGGTATGAAATGTGGGTCACTGATGGAATGTTAGAAAGATGTACAAAAGGGTTTTTGAAAATTCGACCTATAAGTAGTTAAATATATATATAATGTTTGAAATATGTCAATGCCGCATTGATAAATGTTTTCCTAATTAGTGAAAACAAACATCGAACTTGGTTTAAAGAAGCTATGTGATTTTCTTGTTTTCTTCAACAAAAATATACCTTTAGCTGTAATTACAATCAGTGCCTTTTCATTTTTATTAATTTTTTAAGCCGATAATTGTTTTTAAATACAAAAATTCAAAGTCGGGTAATGTGGACCACTAAAAAAGTGGGATATTTTCATGAGGACGAATTCGAAAAATGGGCGCATATTAAAACCAGTAAGGAAAGTAGAAAAGTCGGGCGGGCCGACTATATGATACCCTTCACCACTATGGGTATATTAAGCAGGACTATTAACATGAAATTGGATGAACTAAAATATGTGATATTTAACTAAATGGGAATCGACTTGTCATTTTATTCGTTTGTTACAATGTGACAAACGTATTTAACTCGACTTCAAACAAATATCACTATATCCTTTGGGCTATGTATGTACTTCTAGAACTACGTAACTACGTTATTCTATGCTCAATTTTGATGTTGTGCAAAATTTCACGTCAATCTGATAAACATGAGGATTTTGATGCACCATTTACTTGAAATCGCACGAAAATATATATGGAAGCCACACATGAACAGATTACTTAAAATTAATCGATAATATATAAGGGAGCTATATCTAAATCTCAACCGATTTTTACGAAACTTGGTACACATCATTCTGAACTAAATTCAGTACGATATGCATATAAGAACATTGGTACAGTATTATATTAAATCGTATATATATATATATATATATATATGTAGATGCATCGATTTCCACGAAACTCAGCACACATCATTCCAGACCCGATTTAGTACGCTATGCCAACTTTCGTAGAAATCAAAACTATATAGGGGCTTTGGTGCAACATTAACATTAAATCGGACGAAAATATATATGGGGAAAATATATAGGGACTTTGGTGCACCATTTTCGTAAAATCGGACGAAACTATATATGGGAACTATATCTAAATCTGTACCAACTTACTCACTTTTTAAGTCGATTTATGCATGTCCGTCCGTCCGTCTGTCTGTCTGTCCATGTTAAATTGTAAACAAAGTACAGGTCGCATTTATTATCCGAATTGGATGAAATTTGGCATACATCACTTATTTAGCCCAAGGACGAACCCTA